ACAAAGGTGAAGGCCATACAAGAGATGCCAGCTCCCCAAACAGAGAAAGAAGTCAGAGGCTTTCTAGGACGACTAAACTACATTTCCTGATTCATCTCACACCTGACCACTACTTGTGAACCAATCTTCAAGTTACTGAAGAAAGATCAAGTAGTATGTTGGAACGATGAATGCCAGGCCGCTTTCGAAAGGATCAAAGAGTATATCCAAGAGCCACATATTCGGATGCCTCCAGTTGAAGGGAGACCTTTGATCTTATACTTGACAGTACTCGACAATTCAATGGGGTGTGTGTTGGGTCAGCATGACGAGTCTGGCCAACAAGAGCATGCTATTTATTACCTTAGCAAAAAGTTTACCGACTGTGAGACCCGATACTTGTTGCTTGAGAAAACTTGTTGCGCTTTGGCATGGGCTGCTCGCCGGATGAGATAGTATATGCTGAGTCACACTACTCTACTGATATCAAAGATGGATCTAATCAAGTATATCTTCGAAAAGCCTGCCTTGTCCGGAAGAATAGCAAGATGGCAGATGATCCTGACTGAGTATCTTTGAACATTTATAACTTGAAATTTCAGCATTTCCAGGAGAAGTTCTGTTCTGCAATGTTTTAGATCTTATTGAAATCTATAACTTTTATGCTAGAAGTTCTTCCAAATCATCTTGCATCATGGTGATAATCTGATCAGAAGTTCTGAGCTTGTCATATTTCTTAAACACTTAGAAAAATTCTAAGTATTTAGAATTTTGACTTTTGAATTTATTGATGAAACAAATTTCATATTTCAATATGTGTTGATGAAATATGATTCTTAAAGCTTGATTTTGACCTAAAAGTCAAAGTTTGACTTTTCAGTGTGCAAATGACCATTTTACCCTTGTGAATGATTTTCTTGGAAAATTTGTAATTCAAGGCTTGAAATTGGATGGAAGCAAACCTGAGGGTCCAGGGTGATCATTTTTTGAGAAATTTCTTGCGAAATGAGAGGGCAAATTTTGGGGTACAGCAATAAGTAATGAGAAGGTTTGAGTGCTTGAGAGGATCAGAAGTACAAGCTCTAGACTAATTGCTATGTTACTTGATTTTAAAGAAAAGTGAACGTATGATTCCAAGATGAAGTACAAGAGTGGGATGAGTGATTGTAAGGCTTGAGACAAACTTCTCTTGAGTTATAGGACGTGTATGATCAAAAGAAAACCATTTCAAGGCTCAATAACAAGTTTTGTGCATAAAGCTACTTTTCCAAAATGGCATTGTACACTTTCTTCCAAAAATAGATATAAAGCATGGGCATTGCATTGAATGGTTGAGTTGAGACCTCTAACAGATGTAAAAGCATTTAATTATGGAGTGCCTAACAAGTTTGAGGCCTGCAAAGCAAATATTATGCAGCATAGGTTTGAGATGTGAATTTTTTTCATCACAAAATTTGCCTTGTAAAACAACTTGAAACCCCAATTTTTTGACCTTCGATTCTCCTTGCTCACAAATAATATCAAGGAGTTATTTGACATTTTAGAAAGCTTGTAATGTGCTCTACAACCCCTCTTTGAATCACTTTTGCAAAATCCAAATGGCACTAGGTGAAACTTGGGTCAGAAGTTAGGTCAAAATCCTGACCAAAAATGTTCAAAATTTCACTAAGTGTTTAGTTTCAAGACCATGACTTCATGGATTAATAACTTGAGATCCAAGCATTTCTAGGAGAAGTTGTGTAAAGAAATTTTATATATATATCATGTATATCTACAACTTTCATGTTGAAAGTTTCTTTTGAATCATCTTGCATCATGGTGAAAAATTGGCTCAAAGTTGTGAAAAAACATGAAGTTTTCAACACTTAAAAAATTTCCTAAGTTTGAAAACTTTGACTTTTCAAAATGAAATATTGAATTTTTGATTTCTTGAGGAACAAGTTTCATATTTTGAAATATTTTGATGAATTGTGATTTTTGACACTTGATTTTAACCAAAAAGTCAAAGTTTGACTTTTCAGTGTACGGTTGACTTTTGATCAGTTGACTGAAAATCCACTATCAATCCAATTGATCTTGAGCAATGTTTTGAGTCATACCATTAGGTCAAAATGGTTCAATTGAACTCTTAATATCATGCCTCAAACCAATTAACCATTTGCTAGGCTAAAAATCAGAAATTGCCCTTTCTCAGTCAAAACCCTAATTTTAACCATTTTGCCTTTTTGATGATTTGATCAAATTTCTTGAGGAATTATGGTACAAACTTGATCAAATTATACATATGAGTTTATAATGTTGATATGGATCAATAATTATGAAGTTTGACTGTAAATTGGCCACGGTTGACTTTTTCCCCAATACAGTTGATTCTTAGGTTAACTGCTCAATTGACTGACTAAAAATGTGATTCAAGGCTTGAAACTTGACATGAGTAATATTGGGGATCCATAATGATCCATGAAAGTCATATGAGGTATTGAAAGTTCAATTATCCTTGTACAATCTCAAACCCTAATTTTAGTCATCAGTGCTTAACAAGGTGTCTTGAGTTAATCAAACCTTGTGCAGTCTTGAACCAAAGGAGATCTTATGAGAACATATTTGATAAATGAGATGGAAAATTTTTGGGTACAACAGGATGGTTAGTTGTACATATAATAAACAAAATAACACACAAATGAACCAAACGCCTTATGCCCGGAAAACACGCCAACGTTCAAACTGGCCATTCACGTCTTGACACGCTTTCATCTTCTTCAAGGAAAATGTCGTTTTAGGTAAGGACCTTTATCTATGGACACAAGTTGTAACTATAACCCTGCAAATCTCAAAAATAAATATCAGGCAAGATAAATCAAATTCAAACATACAGATCAATTAGTTTTGATCTCGTGAGTATGATGGTATTCATCTTTTACCCTGATTTTACATGTATCAAAAAGCCCTAAAACGAAGCTCTAAACCCTAACAATGGCATTCCATCAAACAAGAATTAAAACACATAATTAATCATGGAAACACGTTCTGAATGATGATACAAACATGAGTGTATACTTAAAAATCATTCATAATGCGTAAATTCGCAAAACCAAATTCAAGAAAAGTGGTAAACCGTGATGCTGTAAGGTGATGATTCTTGGAGCTTTTATGCGTGAAAATGATGTTGTTAGCTTCAGGAGGTTCTCAGGAGTAGATTAGTGGCCTTGAATCACCTTGAATCGCCCTCTAGCTCAGAATTCAAACCACACTTTTTTGTCAAAAATTAGAGTTTTTTCTGGACTTATGGAGGCAGCCTTTTTGTGTCTTTTTGGTCTGGCAACATTATGTATATGTATTAGAAGGTATTAGGTCAACAAAAACAGATTCAATCTTGAACAATCATGGAGAAAATATTTGATTTATTCCTTGCATTATTTGTTTCCAAAACAAGCCAAACCATGTCATTTTCGTACCAATCATCCTTTGCACGATTTGATCTTTGTTTGACAGCATATATTATCTTCATTCAATGCCAAAATCATCCCAAAAGTAACTTATATGATTTATTTTGATTTTATTTGAATTTTAAATGAATAAAATCACAATAAATTAAATAAGTAAGTTAATGGGGCATGGAGTGGTTCATGGGTCGTGGACCATGTTAGGAACAAGCTCCAAACTTGAAAAAATAGGCCCATGTGGGGAAAATTATATTTTGAGCATTGTTGACTTTGTGCAAATTTCCAAAAATGGCCAACTTTGACGATGCATATCTTCCTCAATTTTGACCCTAGGAGGGTGTTCTTGGACTTTTTATAAAGCTTAAGATGTCCTCTAAGCAACCCTTTTGGTTTCATCTCAATTGGATATTCCATGTTTATGTAAGAAGCTTTGACCCAAAAGGTGTTTTTGTTGACTTTTAAAGAGGACCTACAATGTCTGAATTTATATCTTCTCATGAGTGCATTTCTTGAACTTGAGTACCGAAGATGAGCCGTAGGGAATTGAATCCTTTTCAAAATTAGCCTTGGATGGGAAATTTCTTATAAAGTATGAGAAAGTTATGTCTGGTCAATGTTTGGTTGACTTTTCCTATAGAAACTCTAATTTAGCAACTTTTGAGTTTTGATGAATTTGGGGCATTCCTTGAGGAATCATGATCAACCCTTGATCAAATGATGAATTTTACTTCAAAATATTGATGTTGACCAAAAATCTTGAAGTTTGACTGCATGTGGGTCACAGTTGACTTTTGACCTAGTACAGTTGATTTTCAGGCATTTGAGCAGTTGACTGAGCAAACTTCTTGTGCAAGACATGAAACTTGGCATGGATGATCTTAAGAACATATTAGGGCTATGGAAATCATTTAGAACTCTTGGAACTCAAATATCTTGATGAGGAGTGAAACCCTAATTTGAGACTCATTGTCTTAGGAGGAGGATTTGTCTAGTCAATCCTTAGGCATCCTTGGGCAAGTTGAAGACCTCTAGAAGTATGTTTTGAATAAAATAAGAGGACAAATTTTAGAGTACAACAAAGTTGAAACCTTTTATCTTGAAAAAAAAAATATTTTTCACTTTTGTTGATCTTGTTATCACTGACACAATTTTATGTATCAACACTTGAAACTTGAGGGCACAAACCTAACGGAATGTAACATAATTATGAATATTTCCACTAAGAGAAATCTATAATGGATGTCAACACTTGATAAAAAATGGAAGAGAAGTTTGTTTACAATCAACAAGCATTAGTTACGCTGCATTGGATTCTGTATATTGATTTTGACAAGTGGATTCTGTATTTATTGACTTATGGTATTAATTCACGCGGCTGTAAAAAGAATGGAATATCTTTACAAAAGCTCATGGATTGATTCCTTTTGTGCTCAACTTGTATTATGCTTTCCCTTCCTTCTTTATCATCATACATAACTATATTCTTTTTTACTTCGCTTCCTTGTTCTATATAAGAGAGCTTGCGTTGAGATAAAGTACACCAAAAGAGAAGAGCTCATCAAAAGAAAATTTCTAAGAATGCCTTTCAGAAAGCCACATCAGACAGCAGACCCTCAGTTTATTAAAAAGGCAACTATACATTTTCTTTTACAAATTAAATTCTATTTCTTGCAGAAACTATATGTTTACGAAAATTATGTGTGTGTTTCCAGAATAACACGGGGTACGAGATAAAGCCCAGAGGACTCAACATTATCTGGGGAAATGACCTTCGCTACTGGAAAATAACATCGTGAGTTAACTTTGTATATATATTTATAGAATCATAGTTATCTAACTTATATTGATATATTATTATTTATTGCAGCGATGACCATGCAGAACTAATACAAGTTTCATGGTTGGAGGTATCTGGTAAAGTAGTTATAGAAGGAGGGAAAACATATAAGGTGAAATTTGATGTGGAGGTTAAGGAAAACGGTTTCGGTTGGGATAACACACCAGTACTTGTCATGGCTAAAATTGGGAAAAAGGGAGCATATCTATATAAGGAAGTCAAATTAGTTTGTAATAAATCACAAACAATTCCAGATGATAATGAATCGCTTACAATAACTGTTGGACAACAATCAAATGACCTCGAACTTCATTTTGGATTGTATGAAGTTTGGAGTGGTAAATGGAAAGGTGGCTTGGTAATCAAAAAAGCACAAGTTCTGCAGATCAACTAATTATTAATACTTGTTCATGTTTAATCTATGTCATATGAGTCTTTGAAAAGAGAACCAATACAAAAATAAAGGGGATTATTACTACCCTAATATTTCTAATAAATTAAAGGTGTGCGTTTTATTGTATGTTGTAACTTTGTCCTTATTAGACAAATATAAAATCCATTACTGGCCTCATCCAGAGTCAATTTATTGTTATTTTTGTTTTACTATATTGATATATTAGAAAGAAAAAAATTGTAATAATTATGTATTCAAAAAAAATACATAAATAACTATGTTTCGGAGAAAATTACGCAAATAACTATGTTTCAGAAAATATGTGAACGGTGGTGTCAAGTCAATTGGCGCATGCACACAATTTTTATAAGGATTTGTCAACTGAGATGGCGCATAGATGCAATGTGTTTATCCTAAGCCATCTCAGATGGCGCCTAAGTGCTTTTAGGGGTAAAATGATTTTTTTCCTATTTTAAATAAAAGACAAGTGCAAAATGATATTGCATAAGTTCGATTTTCATTAATAACCATACGATTACATAATGAGAGTAATAGTTATATTTTATTTAGTCGTTCCTCCCCGGTACTTGATAACGAACCATTGTTCTGCACCCGCGTCTCCGCCTTGTTCTTTGTGTGTTTCGACGATTTTCCTGTTGAGGTTGGGTCGAAGGCCCAACATAGTCAATGCGTTCAGGATCTAAGAAATCCATCAGATCAGCACATTCGAAAGATCCACTTTGAAAAAGTCGGTTACCCATGCCCTCAAAGTTCCATCGCATTGGTGGTGGATGGGGTTCCATGGGTGATCGAAATCACTGGTCGTCTAAAAAAGTGGGATTTGTGTAAGTAAAAGAGTCGTGTGGAGTTTGGTATTACGATTGTTGGGTGCTAGGGTGATGTGATGGTTGATGGTAAGATGGGTAAGCTGGGTCATATTCTTCAGGTTCGCCTAGATCTGGGCTAAGGTAAGATAGTGAGGGGCCCACATCGGGATGTTGGATGTACGGTCTTTGTTAATGTACTGAAATTGTGTGTGGGGAATTTGGGTGTATTGGTATTGAGGTTGGGATTGAGATTGGGGGTGTAAGGCATATGAGTGTACTGGTTTTGAGGTTGGGATTGGGGTTGGGTGTGGGTCATATGGGTGTATTGGTATTGAGGTTGGGATTGGGGTTGGTATTAAGGTTGGGGTCTGTTTTGTCGTGGTGTTTGATGGGAGGTTGATATTTGTTGGGTTTGTTGTTGGGGTTGTTGTTGGGTTTGTTGTTGAGGGTTTGAGGATTATGCCCTTTGAGTGTTGGATCGAGCAAATACCTCGGGTGAGACACATGCATTTCAGGGTTAGTAACCGACCTGTACCAATCAATATACTTATCTATGTGTTGCATATTACTCTGGTTGAGAAAAACAGGATATTGTAAGATATGAAAGTGACGTTTAGCCCACATCTTGCACCATTCTGGAGCAAACTCTTTCCAATTATTAACACTCCATTGGGCGTCCACCCTTTTGAGATGTCAATGTGACAAACAAGTTGGATCAGATGGTACTTTTTGATGCATTCCAAACTGCATCTTGACATGATCGCTGTGGTGCATCTCCACAATGTTGAACCGTATGATTGCAGTCTTTGCCGTCCAAACTGTTGCATCCTCGAGGTTGGGTTTATGCTCCAAACCCAAATATGGTCTCAAGATAAATTATGGATAAAAATTAATTAGAAGATAGAAAACTTTAAAAATAAATAATTTAAAAGTAGAAAAGTTTAGAGGTACTACATACGTCATTCGGGTCAAGGTGATCCAAAAGATTACGATATAGAGTGACATTGAATCTTGGATTTTTGCTATAATTCATACCCCTTACACAGTACCTATAGGAATGAAAAATAATAATTAATTTTTTTACATATATTTGGCAAAGAGATGAATAAAAAATTATTCAAAATGTTGACTTACTTTGTTGCGTAAGGGAAAGTGAGTGCATTATTGTTGACAGGGTTAAGGGACTCCATTCTCCACCAACTCCATGCTTGAAGCAAGAAAGTGTATCCATAAAAAGTACATTTGTCTTTTGATGCGTTCTTACATAATGAACCGTATAGATGAGCTAAAACAGCAGAACCCCAATTTTACTTTCTTGTACTCTCAAAACTCCTAAGAAATCTTAAATACATAAAATTTATAGTATTCCCCGTACTTTCGGGAAATAACAGGCTTCCAAACAGTAGCATAATAGAATTTCTAGCTTCAATTATTACTTCTTCCTTGGTCGAATTTTCATTCAACTCAAGAGTCTCATAATGTTTTCTAAGTACAGATAGTAATATACCTTGCCCACTAGCACCGGTTGCTTCCACCATATTTTTCCCAATAATGTCTCACATAGAGAATTGGATTGTTGAACCGACCCATTCACAGCCTTACCTTCGATATAGAGACCCAATAACATCTACACATCCTCTAGAGTGATGGTACATTCACCTATTGATAGATGAAATGTGTGTGGCTCAGGTCTCCACCTTTCTAACATTGCAAGTATAAATTTTAAATCAATCGTGCAGTTTAATATTTTTATTACATTTCCAAAACCGACATATTCTAGATACTGAATGATTAACGGGTCCGGCTCAATATAGTGGTGTGAGCGAATTCTAAATCTTTTATCCTAAATTCAAGTTTTAAATAGTGTTAAAGTTTATAAGATGAATGAATTAATAATGTAATAAAAAGTATAAATAATATAAAATAATATAAAAATTTACAAACGCCTCAATGTTTGCTCTTGTGCCTCTGTGAGAGTCGCCCATTGTTAGGAGAACCATATTTGAAATTGTATAAGACAGTGTAAAAGAAGTATCGGAGAGTGTGTGGATTGGTGATGCAAAACAAGTGTCTGAGGCGGCATATTTATAGGTGAATTCGTATAGATGTGAGTTAATGAGGTGGTTAGAGGTTGCATGTATGCATTTTACGTTTCACCAAGGCGTCATCTAAGTTGACGATAACATGCAATATTGAATGCATGCGCCATTCAAACTGGTGTAGGACAGGCCTACTTGTAGAGTAGGTGGCAGCGTATGGGCAGTGTAGGATGGCAGCATATGGACAGTCGGATACGCATGCAAGCTAGTTAACAGGGCTAGTAGGGATGTGCCATCTCAGTTGGCGCATATGAATAAAATAAGGAGGATGCGTCGTCCCAGATGGCGCTTGGTAGGCTGGGAATTTTTGTCTTATTCAAGTCACGTGAATCTTATTTAGTCTCCTACAATCAAATACTCAAACACTCAAACATAATGTCCTCTGCATCACAGTATGTTATCATTGCATATTTCAACGGTGAGACGTACAATTGTCCAACTTCTGGTTTTTTATTTAGAAACACATATAACATTTGTTTTTGTTTAAACAGAAAAGCCAATTTCTTGTATTTCAAAAAACGACTAGAGATCAAACTTGGACAAGGTCAAGTGTCACACATCTTCTACCAAAATTCGGTTTTTTTGTGAGAACCAAGTAATTTTTTATAAGGTAGAGGTTCAAGACGACGAGGACGTTCAAAATATATTTTCTAGACATGAGTATTATGGGTACGACTCAATTGAGTTGTACATTGTGTTGCAGGAGCCTCAGCGGTCTCAACCAACTCAATTACGAGTGGTTAATCCTCTCGAAGACAAACAAGCAGAAGTAGATGTCGTTGACGAAGAGAAAGATAAAGTATTGGAGTTTGACAACATGGTCAACGATGATTCTGAAGACGATGCGGCACCGCAAATACCTTCAAATGAAATCTACACACCACCTACACACATGACAAACTATGGAGTAAAAGTTGTCTGCAATTTATCAAGGCAGAGGGTGTCAAAGCTAGTACCCATCTTGTTACACGGTTTTACCGACATAACCATAACTTCATTGTCAAAGAGACAATCGACCACAACGAGGGGCTGCCAAGACAAGAATATAGGGTTATACTACCATCTCGTTGGTGCGATTGTGAAAAGTTTCAAGTATTTTGTATGCCTTGCTCTCATGCCATTGCGAAATATACGCATACTCATCAAGATACATTACTAATTCTATCTCCCATTTATAAGTCTGAGACCTTGCTCAACATATACAATAATGGCTTTCTAGTGGTAGTGAAACCTGATTATTGATTTGCGTACAAAGGGGAAATAGTTTGGCACAACAACCAAATGTGAAGGAATAAAAAAGGTCGTCCCAAAAGCAAGTGTGTCACAACTGAGATGGACGATCTTGACAAATTAGAAAGAAAGTGTGATTTATACCGTCAGACCGGACACAATCGAAAAAATTATCCCACTCGTGCTACTAGCTCGGCAACATAAATAATATATGCAAACTATCTATATTTTTTTAATATCAGAGCTTTTTTCCTTAAAATCATCTGTTACAATAAACCATACGCAAACAACAAATAAAAATATATCACGACTAAAACAATATCAAATAAAACATATAAATATAACATCAACAACACGATAAAATATCTAAGAAATTACAACCGTCGAGACAATTTCATCGGATTCGTGCATCATCATCATCATTACGTCTGTGTCTGTTTTGACTTCCCCCAATCAAGATTGAGGTCTTCCAATTGCAAGTGAGGTGGTTGTTCTTCTTCTCTGGATCCTTCTAATTTGTTCTTCAGCTTCGATGTCTCCCTCTAGCCATCACTTCAACTCTCTCTTCAAACGCTTCATAGAGTGAATGTGTCAAAATTTCATTTTCATCAGAAGTTTGTGGGCGAGAAAATAACGTACTCATGTCTGGTGAAAATCATGGGAGATGTCATGATGCAAAATAAAGAGAGAAAATGAGAAGAGAAAGTGATAAAGTGGAAAGAATGATGGAGAAATAGGTGTTTTACTTATAAAAAACACAATTGCATGTAGTAGTCATCCCAGATGGCGTCTCCCCATATATTATAGTGCATGCGCCATCTCATATGGCTTACAGGAAGTGTAT